CCTCGTTGACCGTGAATTGACAGCTGTCAACGGTCAATTTGTCCAATCTGACATGAGGGTTGAATCCAGTGACCTCAAAAACATTACCCTATATATTAGAATAATCAAAATGTGCTTTTGACATCTGTAAATAGTATTGAAAATGAATAGTTTTGCAACGGGTCAGGGGAGCTTTGACAGCTCCGTAGATGCCAAATTATTCATTTTAGCACTTTGTGCCCATTCAGACTTTTGTTCAGGATGACAAAATCTACAACATATCAAAAATTCAGACAATTTGACAGAAACCCAATTTCCATAAGATTATTGCGGGGTCCTTTCCATTAACAAATGTAGCTTTTATACATTTTAGTCATTACTTCTTTATTTGTTAACTTTAAGAATACCTATTTTAGGTATTGTATTTTGCAAACCAAGGTAGCAATAATGTGTGTCAATTAATCGGAAGATGTATAGCTCCCATCAAGGAACGAGTCATGTATATTGTTGTCATTCAGTGGAAAAAAGGAAGACAGAATTATTTTAACTCAATATCAATTGTTTGTATTGTCATTAAATTGAAACAATATTTTCAGATTCGGCTCAGAAAATTGGTAAACAAAATAGAAATGGAAATTAAAATAGGTGACTGATTTTGGAAGGCTCCGGAAAGAAATCGACGCAATGAATCAGAGCGTAATAATTAACAAACATTTTTTTCTTTTTGTCAAAATAGTAGTTGCAACAAAAGTGGATATGATGGCCATATTGCACGAAGACGAAATTTAAGCACGACACAGTAGGCTAAGTGCTCAATCGTTTGAAGCGATGTGGACAATCCACTCGAGTTGTAGAGTATATTTTTTCTACGACCCACTAACGAAAATTTACAAATAAAAAAATATTTTAGGTCATTAAAACAAAATAACTAATTTTAAAATAATTTATGATTTTTAATAATTTTTAAAATAAACGAAAAAAAAAATTCATTTCATTTTTCGCCATCCGTGAATCGAACTCACGTGGAAGGCAAGAACGCTCACCATTTTAAATGTATTACGACTATATACTCATTTATTTTTATTTTATTTTTAAAGATTGTGTGTATTGCCTTGTAAATTGCCATGTAAATTAATTATTTCGACTGAATAAACGATTTATATAAACATATCTATAAATAATAACAGATATGTGATATTTTAATTATAAGCGCTAACAAAATTAAAAAAAAAAAAACTAGTGAAACTGTAGTTAATCTTTAAAATATAAATATGAAATATTATATTACTTACTTTCTATGAGAATGAAAACTTGCATAAGTAAAACTTTTTCCTTCGTACTCTCCGAAAAATCTGCTATCTTCTAATTTTATGTGATATATTTCGTTCCCTGAACATCTTCCGTACAATCGATGCCACTCCTCTTGAGACTGCTGACCTTCCCTGAAAAAATAAAAAAACAAAATTGACGGCTTTACATAATAATAATTGGTGATAATGTAAAAACGTATTTATTTTTTGTTGCAAATAAAACACAATATAATGAATATTAACTCTTAAAAAAAGAATTACTTGCTTAATTATTTCATCCCTTAATCATATAAATAGCAAAATTAAGATATATATTAAATTAAAATTCGAAACCAGTAACTTCAGTACAACTCTGTATACAAAATAAAAATCGCAAATAATATTCTACACCAGCTAGATCATTTCTATATAAATCTAACTAACTATACATAATGAGAATTTACATAGGGGAAGGTGGTACAATATCGACACCCTGGGGAATACCGCCACCCCCTCTCCTCGAAAACTATCAACTAGAGAACGGCCCTGCTTATTGCCGAACGATAGCGGCTGTATGCTGTATTAAAAGACTTAGGGTGATATTACAGAATGTCTACAACTTTGCAGATCTGCAAATATGGCGGCAACTGAAAAATCTGCAAATATGACTGACTTACACATGCAAGAATCAAGTTTTCGTATTCCAAATTTGGGTTCAGTGTTGTTGGGGGTAATAAACCACAATAAATATTGCGAATTTGCAGATATTTTTTTGGAATACTTGCATTTGTAAGTCCGCCATATTTGCAGATCTGCAAAGCTGCAGACGTTCTGTAATCTCACCCTTAGTCAGTAGAGTATTTGCAGTTGCAGAAGCTTGTTTGGCAATTGCGAGTTAAAACGTGATTTGTCGTAATCTTAATATAATAATTCGTCTACATTTAAGTCGTGGTAAGTACATTAGTATAAATAGTTATCTATCTAGGCTATATATACTTCAAAAATACGTTTTATGAGGGACAATTTGATAATATACGATTAAATTATTCTCAAGTTGTCAACCAAATGTAGTCTTTAACCCGCCATATTGTCCGATTCAATCGGGGCAATGCCGCCTTTTACTGATGGGAAATATCGCCCACATGGCGTTATTGCCCCATCAAAATATGTATTTTGTTAAAAGTACATATTACATTTTGTGGATTATTTTCAGATGGTGCGATCACGGATTCGAACTACGGGAAGAGCTCAATGGACTGAAGAAAAATTGAAAGAAGTTATTGAACCAGTTCAAAATGGAGATTCATTGAAGAAGACATCAATCGTGTTCAACATTCCTCGAACAACTTTACGTGACAGAATAAAATCTGGTAATTCGACCAAACCTCATTAGGTCGTAAACCTGTATTTCCTCCTGAACAAGAGAAACAAATAGCGGATCACGTGGTAGGTATTGCTAGCAAGAATGTTTTATGGAATTTCCGCAACTGAATTAAGACGATTAGTTTTAGATGTCGCTGGAATTAACAACGTGAAGCATCAGATTGGTTAAGGTGCTTCCTTAAAAGACATAAATTAGTTTCAGGAAACCCAAGGCGACTAGCCTTAGCAGGGCAATGGCTTTTAATAAGGACGAAGTTGACATTTTCTATAAAAATCTTAGTACAGTTTTGATAAATTTTCTGGCGAACAGAATATACAATATGAATGAGACAGAAATTTCATCGGTTCAAAAGCCAGGAAAAATTCTAACACCTCGAGACCAGAAACAGATTAGGGGGAATAACAAGATAGAAAGAGGAAAAAATATAACAGTTATCTGTGAAATGAGTGCTGCAGGTAATTACATACCACCGACGTTTATTTTCCTCAGAAAACGAATGACACCTCTTTTAGAAAAAGATGGACCAGCCGGATCAATTTATAAATGCTCGAACAATGGTTGGTCCAACGAAGAAATTTTTTTCAGTGGCTTCAACATTTTAAAAATGTTGCCAAACCTACAGAGGACGACCCATTGTTGTTTGTGTTAGATAACCACGGAACCCACATTACTTTAGACAGTTACACATTTTGTAAGGAAAACAACATTCATGTCATATCAATACCGCCCCATACGTCCCATAGATTGCAACCTTTGGACGTGTCATTTTATAGTTCTTTAAAAAATGCTTTTAACAAGGAGTGTGATTATTTTATGGAAACTCATATCTACCAAAAAAATTACACCATATGACATTGCTTTAATCTTCAACAAAGCATACATGAGAACTGCTACGATAAAAAAGGGGTGTGTCAGGATTTAATGCTTCGGGAATTTATCCTTTTCAGCCAAATAAATTCACTGAAGACGATTTTGCACCAGCTCAGGCTATTGATCAACCAATAGTTGTTGAGGATCAACATGTGCAGGATGAAAATGTTCCACCATTAGCAGTGTCTGGGCCTTCTAAAATATGCATAGATCCTCATATCAATCCACAGCCATCTATATCAGCTTTCCAGTCCAGCATAGCAGAATTGTCATCACGGCCATTAACCGAAATAGATCGCTCTAAAACTAACAAGAATAATTTTCGCAAACAACACTCGATTATCATGACACCTACTCCCATGAAGCGTATTCTTGAGGGAGCCACAGTAAAAAGAGAGCAAAATAAAAAAAAAGAAAGTTGAATCAATCAACCAAAAAATAGTTGAAGAAAAAAAGAAGAAAGAAGCAAAAATAAAACAGAAAGAAAAAGCGCGAGTGTCGATAAAAGGAAAGCAACCATTGTTAAAAAAACAGCTTAACAAGGGTTGCAAACGGCAAATTCATTTTGATTCTTCTTCTTCTTCTTCTTCCGAAAAAATTGACGAAAATATCATGTGTGATGATAATGAAGATAACGATGCAATTGATCCGTTTGCTGCTGATACTGAATTGTGCATTATTTGTGGGGAATTCGGTGCAAATGAACTTTGGTATCGTTGTGTTCGATGCTTAAAATGAGCTCATTTAGAGTGTAGTGGTTATGACACTGCTGAAAATTATATTTGCGAATTTTGTTGTTAATTATTAGTATATATTCAACATTCTTACCTACTGTATTTTAATATTTCAATAAACAACTCTTTTTGCCCATTTGTATAATTTCTTTAAAAATATCAAATTTTCTTAATTAGCAATTTTTAAAATGCTTTACATATTATGGCGATATTACCCCCAGGCTATGGCGAAAATACCCTAGTACCAGGGGCAACAATATTTTTAATAACAGTGACGGAAATCATTATTAAAAAATTTTAATAATACAGTTGTCTAGGTAAATGATATAGTAATGCAATGTAACACTAAAATGTAGATATTTACTATACCACTAAGCATCAGATAAGTTATTTTCTTAAGGTGGCGCCATTACCCCACCTTTCCCTAAGTCTATCTTTGTTTGAATAGCAGCGAAAGCAAAAATTTCGTTTTACTTTATAACGCATTTGACTAGCAACCTAAGATAATTGCAATCAAGCTAACTGAAAATCATATGAAAAAAGTTTTAATAGAAAATACATTGTACGATGTAATAGCTATTAATTTATGAAACTAGTTGCGAAAACTCTTATTTTATGTAACAAGTGAATATTTAATGAAAATTCAAATCAAATTATATATTTTTCACTTTTCAACTGTGTAAAAACTTTCGTCTCCATTCTTTTATTGGGCTCAATTAATCTGAGAGATTCATTGGTATTCATTACTCACAGGAATTTATTTTCGAGCACGATCCTGGCCCTATTCCGGTAACCGGTTCAATAAAATGTGCACTCGGAATTTCAAACTAGAGCAATTTTTTAAATCGCTAATTCCAGTCAAATGTGTTAAGAAAAACTCAGGTCGAAGAACTTTAAGTAAACCTCATTAGTCGTACAACGGGAATAATGCCTCGGCAAAGTAGAAGATTTCCCTGATTTTTCCCGTAAAGCTCGCACTTTTTTCCCCATTTCAATTTGCAGAAACTAAATCCCTAGTCGCGCCGCTATGCAATCCGGCTTTCCTGCTTTCCCGCTTTTCCGAATTGACGGTCTCCATTTTCCGTTTCCGACAATTAGATCTCTGTCTTTTCGTAGCATGAAAATATACTCGATAGACTAGCAAGGTGCATATATTTTAAATAAATCACGTTCTTCTGTGCGGAGGCTCCACTATTTTCATAATAAACACCTCGGGTTTATTTCATATTTGGCATATTTAATTTTTGACCTTTAAAGAATTGAATTGGATTATTTCTACTTGCTTGGAATAAACTCACGGTTTATTAGTTTATTTCTAAAATCACAAATACAACGCATTTACAAAAAGTTTTACGGAAAATTTCACCGATTTCAACTCTTAAATAAATAATAATAATAATAATAATAATAATATAATATTACATTTAGTGCTCAAACAACTTTACATTTGTTTGAGGTTATCATATACTAATTTAATACAAAACAATAATTAAAATTGCAAACTATTTATAAAAAATAAAAAAAATAATTAAAAAAAAAATAAATCTAACGGAAAACTTTTCTGAATAACGGCGTCTTTTTTCAATTCAATATTTTTTCAATGGCACCCTTTTATACCAAAACCTGGGAAAATGGGACAGGAAACGGCAAAGTCCCTAAGACCAATAAGTCTTATGTCCTTCGTACTTAAGACTTTGGAAAAACTGATAGATAGGCATATTAGAGACGGGATATTGGTTCAAAGGCCAATATACCAAGACCAATACGCCTATAGTGCAAGGAAATCAACTGAAACAGCTCTCCATCAACTAATAAAAATGGTGGAGAACACACTGTAAAACAAGGAGGTAATGCTGGGAGCATTCTTGGATATCGAGGGTGCATTTGACAATACCTCCGTTGAATCGATCATTAGATCTCTCAAACACAGAGGAATCTAGGACACATGCGTGTCCTGGATCGACTCTATGTTAAGGGAGAGAACTATACACACAACCCTTATGGGAGAGACAACAGCGGCTACGGGTAGCGAGAAGATGTTCACAGGGTGAGTGCTGTCTCCACTCCTGTGGAACCTTGTAGTGGACGGGCTGCTTAGGGCTCTCAAAGATAAGGGACATAGAACCCTGGGATATGCCGATGATCTAGTGATCATGGCACAGGAAAAATACAACACTATAGTAAGAGATCGAATGCAAGAGGCTCTAAATATAGTAACAAAATGGACAGAGGCGGAAGGACTAAACATTAGCCCAAACAAATCTAACATAATTGCATTCACCCGCAGGAGGAAATTGGAGGGACTAGGGCCTCTAAACCTAAGAGGTGCAAGCATCCAGCTTAAGGGGGAGGTAAAATATCTCGGGGTTATGATTGACTCGAGACTTACGTGGAACCAGCATCTAGAAAGAACCACAAGGAGAGCGGAAACCTCATTAATGATGGCAAGGCGATCCTTTGGAAAAAAATGGGGGTTAAAACCAGACATGGTATACTGGCTTTATAACATGGTGGTGAGACCCATAATAACATACGCAGCTTTGGTGTGGTGGCCAAAGACACAGCAAAGGAAAGCAATAACGAGGCTAAGCAAGGTTCAAAGACTTGCCTGCCTCGGAATAACGGGGGCAATGAAAGCAACCCCCACTGCTGCAATGGAAGTACTAATAGGACTCCCACCTCTTCACTATGTGATACAAGGGGAGGCAAGATTAGGTGATTACAGATTAGGGAATACACTGGGAAATCTTGACATTAGGCCAGGTCACATGAATATCTCAAGTTTAGTGACAGGAGACGTGCTACACATGAGATCAGACCACATAACCAAGAGGTACTCTTTTAATACTCCCTTTGAGGTTTTAATACAGGAAAGAGCGGAGATCACCATAAGGGAGCCCAATGCCCAACGACAGGAACAAACCTGGTATACAGACGGGTCTAAGACTGCGGAAGGCACTGGGGCAGGAGTATTCTCCAAAAACCCTGATACTAACCATAGCTATGCTATAGGAATACATTCCTCGGTATTTTAGGCCGAGTTATACGCAATTTTGCAATGTGCAAAAACGAACAATGAAAGAGCTGTCGAAAATCAGCATATTCAAATAATGTCAGACAGTCAAGCGGCACTTAAGGCCATATCGAGTCAGAAAGTTACGTCGAGGCTGGTATGGGAATGCATCGAAGAACTAAGAACACTGGCAGACCGAAATAGAGTAAAACTATTTTGGGTGCCAGGTCACAAAGGGATCGAAGGCAACGAAAAGGCTGACGAACTTGCAAAAAGAGGGTCAGAAGAAACACCGGAACCAGACACAAATCCAGAAGTACCAAAAAGTACAGTCCGGGGTTTTATAAATGACTGGATTCGGGAACAACATATCAACTATTGGGGAAGCACCCCAAAACAGGCACATGGAAAAGCCTTCATAGGCAGACCATGTCCCAAAAGAACTGGAGAACTACTCTTAATGAATAGGAACCAGTTGAAAGTGATAACAGGGTTCATGACTGGGCAGGCCCCAGTAAAGGGACACTTGAACAAAATTGGCATGTACAATGGGGAACTCATGTGCCGACTATGTCACATGAAACCAGAAACGGCCAAACACATACTGTGCGAATGCGAAGCTCTAGATCGCAAAAGACAGGCTCTTTTTGGACAACCCCAGGTTGATCCAACAACGTATAGAACCCACTCACCCAAGGATCTGTACAAACTTGTACAAGGTACAAAGGTGATAGAGTGGGTGCTATCAACTAACATGGGGTAAAACACAATAAGCCAATAGGCTTCAGTGTTATTCGGAGACACATAGTCAGACGAGCCCGGGAGAGAGAAAAAATGGCACCCTACTGACTAAGAACTGCTAAACATGCAGTCAATGCTCACTGCTTTTTTCTTATCTAAAAGATAAATTTTATGCAATTCCTTGGACTTGATGTAACTTTTGTAAAAATGTTTTGTGACATTCGGTATTAAATGTCTTTGAAAGATCAATAGAAAAATGCATAACGGCGGTTTAGGGCGATTTAGATTTATCTAAGAAATTGTATATTTTTGATGTTAATTCATCTATGACATCTTGAGTGGAGCTCTTGTCTCGAAATCCAAATTGGTTATCAGACAGGATTTTAAATTTATCTATGAACTCTATAAAGTAGTTTTCAGTAGATTTCTCTAGAATTTTAACAACATTAGATCCATGAAATTGACCGATAATTCTAGATATTTTCATTATCTCCTTTCTTCTCTATCGGTTTTTTAAAAGATCTGAATTAGTATTATCAACATCTAACGATTTATTTGTTTTCAAGATTTTTTAAAATTTGTAACTTTTCTTTCATTAACTGTATGTAGAAAAATGCTATAATTAACTGTTTTATGTCGTTCAGGATAATATGTTCGCTCTTCAATAATTGAATTTGCTAAGTTATGTCCAATCTCTATAAATATTTGTTAAATTTATCCACTATAACTTATTTGTTCACCATATTTTCATTATCTACATTAATTTGATTTATTCCATAATGATTTTGACTTATAAATACTCTTGTGAGATGCTAAGGACCACCCTTGTTTGATTTACCTTTTTGAACTTATAACTCACACATGGCTACCACCTTCAACTTTAAACTTATAAATATGTTTACCTATTTCTCTTTGAATAGACGATTCTTCAACATTTTTGTTTAGATTTTTTTATTTGATCTACTTATTTCATTTTTTTTAATCGTTGTAGGCTTGTTTTAGTTGTAAAGCATTAAGGGTTTCTCATTAATTTTTATACATTTCGCCTTTTTTTAAATTAAATTCAAAAGGTTTGATGTAATCCATTTTTTTTTTGTAATAATAATAATACTCTCCCTAATTCACCCCCTTACGAGTGAATCTCAACTCTTAAAGCCGAGTGAGCGACTTGTGTAGTGGAGAAAGGGGACGGCTATTATTATTATTTTCCGTGACGCTCCGGGGCGACTTAAAGATGATTGATGGCACCATTTGACTTACAGGTGAGGAAAACCTGTAAAACCTCACCCATCATTATCGAGACGGTAACGCATGGCGATTTATAATCTGGATGTCATATCAACAGAAATTGAATTTCTGTTATTAAGACACACATCAACTCCTATAACGAACCATGCAATTTAATCAAAAGTCCACATTGTCTGGTATAGGAAACAAAGCCGCTCTGTCTATGAACCACAAACTTGCCTATAAATGAATATAAGCGCGTTAGACAACTACCCGCCGACCCGATATATTTTTTATTTTTATATCTTTAATATTTTTGTTTACACAATATTTTAAAATTTAAATAGCTTTCTGAAATTTCCTTCGTATGATGACTTCCATTTTAAATCCTTTATTAAATTTTTATAATTTAAGTATTTTTTTGGTAAAAATTTAAGATATCTTCTAAAAGATTCACCAATTTAAGTCAACTACAAATGATTTTCATTTAGGAAAATTTAAACTATATTCGGTCAATGTTATAGAAAATGTCAAAATTTCTTGTCAACATTTAATCCATTTAAAATAGTATAATTATGTTGCAGTTATCACTAACTAACTGATTTGGCACTTTAGAATACATCTGACATAAGTATACATGGTGTTTTTAGATATAATTTAATTATTTTTGTCATATAAACAAAGGTCCCCAAATGCTTTGATACCGATCTACTGGGTGTTTAAATTTCAAGATTACTATACTGGTCTTTATGTAATGTAATACAGGGTGTCCCAATGAAAAGTAGCCAGTTTCCATTTAATAAAATTTGTTTACGGTGAATTTAAAAGAGGAGATTTAAAAAAAAACACCCTGTATGGGTAATACATAATTTCTGTGTCACTGAAGCAAAACTTATAGCAAAATAACATATATCAGCAAAAACCGAACGTTTCTACGATTTGTTTAAAAGTTTTAAGCTCTGGAAATGAGCTACTTCTCATTGGGTTGAAGTTGAAATTGAAGTTATAGTAAAACCTCAACGAAATAAAACATAAATAAAAATATTTTTAAGCCACATGTGTCCTATATTTATGTTACAATACAGCATAAATAAAAATATTTCAAAGTCACATAAGATTATACAGTACTTATTATTTTGTATTATGCATAGTCGTGCTTTCACAGCAAACATGTGGCAACTACGATATCCCCGCTATTTCTATGCTCCCTGGCTTTGTGTCTGATATTTGGTTCAGCTAATATCCCACCACAATATATTTTAATTCTAGACGACGACTGGCTGTTGCCCTGTTGCCATTTTATTTACTTATATACTAGTCGTATGCCTAACACGAAAAAATAAGTAATATATATTTATTTTTTAAAAAGTGAATTAAATTTAATTTTAATTTTTTTTGCATACATTTAGACTTATAAGAAACTAACAGAATAGAATTATTAAACATATCTATTTATACAATTAAGAAATCATGGAACTCGGCTATCCTCTAGTATATAGTTTATGTTGCAATCGTCCATTATTATTTACCGATTTAGCTTTAACATCCTACATCTGCCAGCGTGATAAGCAATTAGTTCGTGATAAGTGTTACAACATTATAAATGGATGAAATGTTGACATTTTCCAAATAAATAATAGAATATCGTTTAAATTGTCCTTAATAAACATCATTATATCATCATTCCTGTTATATTCTTCTTCCTTATATAGGGTATTAAATCCTTATATCCCAAAAATAATATATACACTAATAGTTTCTGTAAGAATAATTAATTCATACATTTATCTTATTGCACTTATATGGTTTATTAGCATTTTTTGAAATACTACGGATAATTGTGTTATATTCTCTTTCCTTATACAGGGTATTAAATCCTTATATCCCAAAAATACACAAAAAGTTTCTGTAAAAATAATTATTTCATAATTCATCAGCATGTTTGGAACTGCTACGGATATTTGTATGGAAAATTTTGTAACAATTTCTATCAGAAATAAATCAGTTTCATCAATAATTTAAACAAATAATTTGTATACAAACAATACTTACTGTCCTCGTGATGTATGCAATAACAGCGTGACGAGCGTAGAGGCACCAGGACACGTGCAATTATTGGCCAATAGGGCGTACTTGAATTCATCTTCGCATACTACAAATTCGGCGAACTTTACGTGTAGTTTGTTCTCCGGCCGGAAAATCTGAACGTATTGGGCCACGTTTGGGGCGAAGTCTTTCACGGCCCACGATCGCAGGATCGTGTGTTCGTCCTGGAAGAAAGAGAGAGAAGGAAAAACCATAATTAAAATGTCAGCTCAAATAAATGATTAGGGGTTTGATTTGAAAAGCGAGTTTATTAGGGAAAATGGTAGGAAAACGGTATAACTAGAGGTACGCATTTACAAGAAATTACAAAAGCAAATGAATGAAAAATTAAATTTACATGGAAATAAAAATAAGGTAAAATTATAAGATATAAGATAAATTTCAGTAAATTATTTTCCCATCAAAAACAGATATAATAGAATCTATTTATAGTCAATACAATAATTAAATCTATAACAATTTCACTATTTTAATCTCATTATTACTAAGTAAGTAGTTACAATACAATACAATAAGAATATTATTTCCTTCCCTGTCGTTTTCGTTTTCAAATTCAGTTTATGTTCGATAGCTCCATCAAACTTTAAGCATCAATATCGCATCAAACAATCATAAGTTATATTATTAAATGCTCTAGTCAATTTTGAACTCCCTCAATACATTGTAGGTACCTACATAATTCTAATATTTAGGTTGCCAAACTTCCTACATTTTATATCGCTTTAGCTAACTTCTAATTAGTGTAATATAAGACAACTTTGGAGTTACAATGTTGGTAAAATTACCAATTTCGAACTTACATGCAGTTGCACTATAATAGAGTCAATAAAGACCAAAAAGTGTCATATAAAAGGACCATGCTGAAATTTTCAGATAAAATTGCATATTTAAAACATTGTTATTATATTTTTCAATGTATTTGAAAGGACTATACAAGGACAATACAAGCAATATAACAAAATAAAATTGTCATGAATTACATAAGAAATCGAGTCATATAAAGATGCTATTTTTTTTATTTCTTATTTCTTTTTATCTACTATTATTACATGATATTATATTTTCTTACTAAACTTTTAAGTTTATTTAGGGTAGTTAACATTTAAAGGTTGAAAAAAATTGTCAATAATGTCAAAACATAAACGCTTTATTATTTTATTGTTATTAATTTATTAGTATCTGTTGTTTTTGTTTGGCTTTGTTTAAACATTCTTTTTGATTTGGTTCCATTTATTTGTGACAAATGCAAAATGATGATGCTACAAGTACAATTTCCATACAACAATCAACACTTGTTAGATTATGCACATCTATAGCCTGTGCTCTACCCATCTAGATTATTGACAGTTGACATTGACAAATTTTTTCAACCTTAAAATGTAAAATACCCTAAAGTTAAAAGTATATTTTACGTTACAGGTACAACATGATAATGTAAAAGGTATAAAAGTATACATAATTAATTATCTTTCGCAAATACATTTTTATTGCCGAAACTATGTTCGTCATAAATAATGGTTTATTCCATAAAAGTTTGGTTATGATTAAAAATCAACGAACTACAAATTAATTTTGATTAAATTAAACTGAAACGAATAATAACGAAATGAATTTTGGAGAATTAAATAATGACTAGGTAAATTTCAAACGAGGGTGTATCTATACCATAATTTCCATTACAACATCTGTTAATTAGGATTACGCTTTTGCGAATTCAATTATTTATATACGTTATACGTAATAAAACCCAGAATAACAGTTTTACGTCATTTGAATATCGCCAAACAGCACCAAAAAGTAACTTCATTTTAGAAATGTTCGTTTGACCAGAGGTATAATATTCAATTTTTTTATCGTTTTTTCTATAAAAAAAAAATCGGGAAAGAGGGATTGATTTATTTACCATTGTATACTGTAACGTTTAATAATATAAAATTACTAAAAAGAAATTTTTAATATGAAATAATAAAAATTTATATTATTATTAAAAGAAAATCCAGAGTCAAATATTGTAAATATTCATTTAAAATTTAAAGGGGGAAGAAGGGAAGGGGTACGGTAGAGGGGAAACGGGGGATGAACGGGGGTGGGGGTGAAAGGGTGGGGGAATGAGAGAGGGAGCGGGAGAAAGGAACGGGAGGGAGGAACGGGAGGAGGTCTAATTTTATATGGGAGTATCGATTTTTTGAAGGTAGGAACGTGAGAATTGAAATTATAGTTACTAATCATAAATAAATAATTTCGTGTTTCAAGGTTTTTGCATTTTCACATTTTAATGGGGAGAAACGGGGGGTAAAAATGTGTATGGCAGTATCGGTTTTTTAAAGGTATGAAATAAAAATTGGAATTGTTTCTACTCATTATATGTAAATAATAACATATTTGAGGGTTTTTGGATTTTCACATTTTAAGGAGAGAAATAGATGTGAAAGTTTGTATAGGAGTATCGATTTCTTTTACGATAATAAATTGAAAATTGAAATTATAACTAATCATAAATTAATAATTACATATTTAGGGCCAAAAGCTGGGAAAATAGAAAACAAAAAACGAATCAATCTGGTATACAGATGGTTCGAAAATGAAAAACAGCACAGGAGCTGGGATCTACCATGTGAACTCAGGGAGGACAATTAGTCTGAACCTGGGGTCACTGACAACAGTCTTCCAGGTTAAAGTAATGAATTCCTACGCCAAAGTCATGCTAAATGCCTCTCTTAGAGATAAGAGGATTTTTATCATGACAGACAGTCAGGCACTGAAAAGGGTAGAAGTACAATCTAAATCAATATTTGATTGCCAACAGTCCCTCCAGGCACTAGCAGAACATAACAAGGTTACCCTTGAATGGGTGCCAAGACATGAGGGAGTGTTTGGAAACGAGAAAGCAGACCTCAGAGCAAGGAAGGGAGCGGAAAAAACTCTTATTGGACCAGAACTCACATGTGGTATCTCATACCAACATGTTAAATGGGTGTTAAAGGAACAAATAAATAGAGAACACCATAGGCTCTGGATGGAATTTCCTGGACTTAGACAGTCCAAAAGATTCATAGAGGGGCAATCCACGAGCAGACAAAATCAACTGCTAAACCTTAGCAGAAGCGAACTCAAGGCCGTAATAGAACTCTCTTAGGGATATCTGATGACTCCCTATGTAGAATATGTGAAGAGGAGAACGAAACTCCTATTCACATACTATGCCACTGTCATGAGAACGGGACTGGTAATTCGGGGTACAATATACGGAACCTGAAGAAAATTAACCTGATGGGATAGAAACTGTGAGAAGTACAATAAGCCTAGAGCTTTAGTACAAGTGGGCTTTGAATCAAGCCCTAATTCAGATAGATAGATAGTTGTTTTGGCATTTCACATTTTAAGGGGGGGAAGCAGGGGGTGAAAATGTGTATCGGAGTATCGATTATTTTAAAGGTAGGAACTTAAAAATTGGAATTATAGCTACACATCATAAATAAATAATGACGTGTTTCAAGAGTTTAGATTACTATACTTAAATTATATTCCACACCTTGTTTTCAATGATCACAGGTAGTACCCCCTTTTCTCGCTCTGTGGCCACGTATTTTAAAGTCTAAATACCCTCAAAAGTATTTATAAAGTTCCAAAATAACTAGTTCCAAAATAACTGGTTGTCGCAGTCCTTCCCACCTCTGCTCCCATTCCATGGTAATCAGATACACTCGAGTATCGGGGACAACACTACTGATTTGTTATTGCTGTGGTGGGACGGAGGTGTTTGAGTGAATGCATCTCATTTGTTTTCATTTACGCCGTGACTAGCAGTACATCGGATGTACACAAAATATTTGTACATCGGATGTATCCCCCATTATTTATATATCATAATTCTAACCTAACTTTATTTCAGATGATGGAGTGGAATACTTAAGTATTTTTCTGTAGTATTTTATAAACCTTAGAAGCAAATTTCACATACATGAACAAATAATAATAATGCCGTGACAACAAGAAGACGAAGCAACGACTTCTCGCCAAAAAATTCAATCCATACCTGGCTACGCCGACCGGCATAAAAACCAATGGCCTGGACACAGCTCACCTACTGTGTCAAAAGGAAACCGATTTACAAATAAAACGCGTACATCCGATGTATGTTGTCTTTCATTTAATTTTTAACTGAACCTAAAAAAGTCTACTCGAGCATATTAAATACCTAATATGTAGGTGGACAAAATCACTACATAGATTTTAGATTTTACCTATGGACAGATAAAAAACTGCATATTTATTTCGAAAACTGAATTTAATAAAGTAAAAGTAGGAATCATGAAAGCATTTGTTTTTTAGGTTAGGTTATAAAAATCATGCGCACTACAAATCATTAGTGTTGTCCCCGATACGCGAGTATCAGACAAACGTCATTCTTTCTTTTTCGTGCATTGTGGTTACACGTAAATAATTTGCTTGTCATTATTAATTATCAAAAACACATAAATGGGTAAATCACAGAAGAACATTTTTACAACGGGGAAGTCTACGTCCTCCGAGGATTACAAACTTGAAAACAAAATTATAAAGATGGATGAACAAAAACGACACCGAATATCACATCACATATGTATTGAACAAAATGGCGGCACAAATGGTAAACGCTTTTTATAAATTGCAAATTTTTGGTTTGTTTTAGATATGAAATCATACTCCATCGATCAGCATTAAAAAATACACAGTATACACTGTAATACAGGCTAGTTAGTGGTTTATAATTGAATCATGTATATGATTTATGGCCTTGGAATCTATACAGGTTTTTCCTGTATTTATTATGCAGAATGTACTGTAAAACATGCTAGTTAATGGTTTATAACTAAGTCATATATGACAATGCCTGTGGATTCTTGTGGATCCTTTCCTGTTTATTATGCTCTACGTTGAAACTCGAGTTTTTATCCCGTCAAGAGCAATACAAAGGATGTTATGTACAAGGTGATCGGCATAAAATTAATAAAATGACACTGAAATATTTACAAAGGTAAACCTTTTATGAAATAAAAATTTCCTTCTGTTTTAGATATGAGGAAATGTTGGCGAAAGACGGACCTACCGTCTAATGTCAACTGATTCTAGTATACTCCACAGGGTGATACGAATTTTCAGAAAAAACATTACATTTTTATTACACCCGGTATAAATCGAAAAGGAACTTTTTATCATAAACAGCGAAAATTATGACATTGTCAAGGAACCAACCTAGAATACAAAAAAAAATCATTCAAATCGGATCATAAATTAAAGAAAAGCATAAAAAATGTGGAAAATTTATGATGTTGCGTTAATTTTGTCCAAGAGTTTAAATTAGTTTACTTAACTCTCTATAGTCACATACATATCGTCAACCCTAAAAAGCATATTATTGCTTCTTTTTTGGGCAGTTTTCTAAGATTAAAAACAAGTGTGCAAAGCTGCAGGCAACAGCTAGTTAATATATAAAACTAAACTAGCAGAGAGAACATAGTAACTAAATTTATTTATAAAATTAATTAAAAATACTTATTTTATTTGAGTTTCACTATTTTTACTAATTGTTGATTAGGCTATATGTTATAGTTGGCTACTATTCAAAGTAAACCCCTTATTATAATTTTTTTTTTATAAAAATCCTCCGCTTCTAAACGTACTTTTGGTATTCTACTGTTTAAATTTTCAAAATTACTTACAGCAGCCGTCTTATCCGCATAATTCCTCGCGGCCAAGATAAAACACGCCTCTGCTTCGTTCATTCTCGCTCTGGCCAAATCGGCGTCCTTTAAACAGGATCCTTGGATGTATATGACCCTTTGGGCCCATATGGGCACTTGCAGGATCATTCTCATCGTCGTGTCGAGCTCCATCGGGGATAACAGCACAACGTAGTAGTCCTGAATAAACAAAAGAAACATTTAGGAGAAATCTTACTGGAGATAAGATCATCATATAGTAGTTGCGTTTTGAAAGGATATTTTGTCTTTGGCCATTTGTTTAACACTATCGTTTTAAAAGCAGTGACTTCTAAAGTAAAGAAGGTCTATTTGGGATATCTGTTTATTATTTATTTATACATTGTTCAACAGGTTAAACCCAATTACAGAACAGGAGTACATTTGGAAGAAAACATGTTTAACAAAAAGCATATAATCAAACTAAAATTACAATAAATAAATTTTAAATTATTTTAAACAATGTGTTTTTATGTTTTTAACATTGCAGTTAAATATATCTAATTGTTTACTAATATTATTATAATTATTACACACGTTATATACAGCTTCACAATTTATTTTAAAATTAATAACTTTATAGAGGGTGATTATGGAGAAGTACTTCCATCTTACATCGAGACTTGTCAATCTGTGTCTATTCAGTAAAGTATTTTGAGTAATACCAAATGGTGGATAAATTTGATCTGCTCGAAAACTTAAATATTTAAGAAAACGCCTTTCTATGGACCCTATTCGACAATTGTGTATTTAATAATAAGGATCCCAAATAAACGAGGCATAATCGAGTTTAGATCCAACAAATGAGAAATATAATGATTTAATAGTATTTGTGGTTTTAAAATCACGTCGTACTATAAATCCATACATACGGATTGCTGCTGTTGAAATGTTATGTATGTGGTATTTGAATGACAATACTGTGTCAAATGTAACCCCTAAATCCATTAAATTGTTGGATCTAGAAAGCAAACGTCCATTAAGGACATAATCGAATATAACTGGATGCGCTTTTAATGTGTATGACATTACATTCGACGGGATTTAGTGTAAGGCCATTTTTGTTGCACCATTCAACAACTTTGTTCAAATTTTCCGACAACTGTTCACAGCCAGAAATATTTTCATTAGCTGAATATATTTTAAGCCATCAGCATACAGCAAATAATCAACATTTATAGCGTCACCAATGTCGTTAATAAAAATATTAAATAACAGCGGACCCACCTGGGATACAAGAGGTATCGCAATATTTGTTAAGACTTGAATCCATTTAATTGAACATATTGTGTTCTTTCAGAGAGATATTCTTGAAAAAATGTGATCAAACTATTAGAAAGACCAAATAAGCAGAGTCTATCAAATGCTTTTGTCATATCCGTATAGATGACATCAGTTTGAACCCGAATATCAATATTTTCAGCAGAACCATGTTATTGAGCTGAGATTGCGTTGCAAACATGTTGATAAATACTACGTTTCAGTAATATTTTGGGAATTTTGCAGAAATTGCAAATGATAGAAATAGCCTATAGTTTTTGATATCACTCCGTTCACCTTTTTTAAAATTTGGGCAGACTTTAGAACATTTCCACATCGAAGGAATTGTAATGGATTTAAGACAGATATTTATCAAAATAGTTAGAGAGCGAGCTAATACTGTCGAACAGTCTTTTAAAATGAACGCAGGAATATGATCCGGTCTTGTGGTACGTTTAGGTTTAATGTTTTTTAAAACATCCTGGACCTGGGTTTCAGAAAAATGAATTATATGAAGCTGAGATTACTGGACGTCCTTTAATGATATGTTTGAATCCTTGAAAGTGACATAAGATTCCACAAAGCTTTCTACAATTTCTGTTGGATTATTTAATGTTTTCTTTTCAAATCTCATGGTGCTTGCAACTTTACCTCGGCATTGTTTATTATTAACGTATGTCCAAAATTTATTTGAATTTGCTGAGATTTCAGATTCAAGATTTGCTATGTAATTTTTATAAGCTTCAGCTACAGTTTTAATTTCAGCTCTGATGAGCTTAAATTTTTGAAGAGCTTGAATATTACGATGAAGTTTAGACTTTTTCCGAAGTTTCTTCATAATAGAACCATTGAACCAAGGAGGGTATTTTCTATTATTTCTTTATCTCTAATTGTGGATTTTTAAACTGATTATATACATATCTGTATCAATATTAAGAGGAATGTATAAATTAGAAAAGTTCACATAAAAATTGAATTAAATTTTTAATTGTATTTATAAAATTACAACTATCAAAATTATTGCAATCCAAAAATTCTAACCAAACCAAATTTCAAAGTTCAGACCTGCTTAAGGTGCCATATTGCTACCATTACAACGTCTACTAGTATCACATTATTTTGAATACATGGAAAATATCAGAACAGTGGTACATCTGAAGATTCAAACGTATTTATTCGCCTTTGATTTTCTTACCTGCAGAAGTGGATGAGCATAAAATTCGTTAAGAAAATCCATGATGGTGTCTGCGTGTAAAGTTGTACTGCAAACAACCACGTGTTTTTCCGATTGAGCTCTGTGCGATGAATATGATCCACCTAGTTTTTGCCTTTCCATCCAGGTAAATGCTAACTGCTCGAACTGAAACAAATATGAATGATAATATAATTTTTTCTACGACCATTGTTCAAAACACGCGCTTTCGCATTATCATTCTCAAAGTTGTCAATTTCTCACAATACTACGAAAAAGTGACAGATGGGTGTGGTAAAGTGACATAAGCGTGCACAAAGTAATACTTAACGCACGTTTATATTAAATACAATTGAAGGGTACAGGGGAAAAAAGATAAATGTCACAAAAATGAGTTTCTGTAATTTCATGTACATTTTAATATTATTTCGATATTAAATGAATTATTTTTTTATATTTTTTTATTGTATCATTTTGAGGCAATACACTTTGTTTACAATGAAAATGTCAATTAATAAATATCATTCTGTGGAAGTGGCTACAGTACCAACCCAAAACATTTAAATTTCACAGCGAACTCCAATTACGATTTCTCTCGATGGCTTGTTTAAACATCCCCTTTTTTACGAAAACGCCCTTTACGGACTTAACGAAATTATATTCAATTAATCTCGACTTCAACTTTGCGTTTAAATAATGGAAAAATGTTTTCATTGCGTCCAATTTTCAGAGTCATAGAATTCAATTCGTTCGTTTCAGGAATTAGATGCGCCTCGTCCTTATTAATTCAGTTTCGGACAAAGGACTGAACATTTTATACGATTGTTTTGCATGTTTGGATATAATAGAACGTCGTGCCGCAACTTTTGTTTTTATGTAAATAGGCTTTATTTTTTTGTGTAGTAAATATCTAGACATTGTCGGTAGAATTTTATATGACCGGTGTGTATTTAGCGCGGGGTCAGTAACCAAAAATATTGTTTTTGCGATAGGAGTGTGTATTATTCCTATAGAAATAGTATAGAAGGCCAATGTAAATGTGCATAAAAACACGTCTCTGCGCAGGACAGGGCCGGCTCCAGGGTAGGGTGATCCGGGCGGCCGCCCGGAGCGCAATGATCTAGGGGCGCCAAAATCATGGAAAATGAAAATAAACACTGATGAAAAAATTAAGTTACAGGCTTTTATAAAATGCACTAAAAAGTAAAGAATATGTTTTTATCATTTTTATTTCTAAGCACATATTTCAAATAATATAATATATTTAAACATTAAGGCAAAATCTAGTTGAATTCAATTCAACATGACAAAACCACTCAACCACCGCCTTTCAACCGCCTGGCAACACGACTGTACAGGAAACAACAATTTTGAAATCAAGCGAAACAAGATCTAAAAGCCCTTTTTAACTGCATATAAAAAGGAAGTAGACTTAAAACAATGCATTAGAGGTACACTGCCAAAGTTCGCGGAAAATGTAAAGCAAAACACAAATTACGTTATGTAAATCGCTTAATTGCTTCTCAAAATATTCTCCTTTAAACTCTATACACTTTTGCATCCGATGAAACCAATCTTCAAAACAATTTTGCCATTCTGAGCGAGGTACCTTCAAAACAAATGATTTAAATGCTTCAACAGCCTCTTTAGGCGATGAAAAACGCTCGCCACGCATTTTATTTTTGATATGTCGAAATAGGAAGAAGTCATTGGGCGACAAATCAGGCGAATATGGGCAATGAGTCATTAATTGGATGTTGTTACTGGTCAAAAACTCTACAGTTCGTCGTGCTGTGTGAGCGCTTGCATTGTCATGATGAAGAATGATTCGCCGGTTTATATTGTTCCTTCTGATTTCAGCGATAACTTCCGGCAAACAAATTGAAGTATACCAGTCAGAATTAACTGTCCTTCGATCCTCTAATGCAACAGTTGCAACATGACCCGTTTTTCCGAAGAAACAAACAATCATTCTTTTCGAAACGCTTCGTGAACGTACCACTTTTGTGGGTTTAGGTTCATTTTGGAACTCCCATACAGTCGATTGCTGTTTAGTTTCAGGCTCATATGAATATATCCAAGATTCGTCACCTGTTACGATGTTATATACCGAATTTGAACGACCCCCTTCGAATTTGTTTAGCATTTTCCTTGCACCACTTGACACGTGCCTGTTTTTGTTCTTCTTTCAAATTGTGTGGGATCCAACGACTGCAAAGCTTCCTGACATGCAAATGATCGTGCAAAATCGTATGTATTTATTTCGCTGCAATGCCTAAGGATGCCTCTATCTCACGATAGGTCACATGCCGATCTGACAAAATCATTTCACGCACAGCATCAATATTTTTCGCGACAACAGAGGTACATGGACGACCTACGCGAAGATCGTCATCAAACGTTGGTCTTCCACGCTTGAATTCTGCGAACCATTTGTAAACCATAGTTTTGGATGGTGCTTCATCCCCAAATAATGAACTAAGTTTTTCCACACATTGCTGCGGTGTTAAACCGTATAGAAAATCATAAAAAATCATCACTCGGAAGTCACGATTCGAAATTTCCATTTTGTATAAGCAAAATTCTAAATACCTGAATCATTAGAATCGGATGATTCTGAATCACTTTCGTTCATCCGCCAAAAATCCTGATAGATTTTCCATTTGCTTCTTCTTTTTAAATTTACACATCTTTCCTAGATCGGGAGATGCACATCTTTTTCTTTTTGGCATAATTAAAGCAATTATTTTAAAAAACTTCGATTTTTATTTAATTTAAAACACGTTCACTCGATGAGCACGAAAAACGGAATGAAGAAATGGTTAGTTGTGATGATAAGAGAGTATCGGCCGGGTGACTAATAAACTTTTTATTATATATATCTTCGAGCGTTTGTGTATAAAAAAAGTAGACGGCACAAATAAATTTTACTATTCCACAATTAAATATTAGTATTATTAATATATCTATATACCGGGTGTTCAAATTAAAGTGTTACAGTTAAATACTTTTTTTTTGATCCCTAAATATAGAATAAATGCCAAACTTAAATTGAATATTTTCGTGTTATTATTTAGAATATTGTTATTTAGATTTTAATTAATACATTTACCCCAAACAACGCGTTCTTACCCGAAGTGAGAGAGTAAAGAAGAATAGGAGGTAGAAGAAGAGGAGGGCGAGTGGGATGATATTAACCAAAAATTTGGTATGTAAACGTCACCCTCAACTCAAAAAATTATTCGAAATATGTACCACCAATTAAAATAATAAGTCTAATTATTACTATGTCATAGAAAGAATAAACATTTGACAAAAAATTCAAAACCTTCGATTAGAAAAGTTATTAAGAGCCAAGAAAAAAGCGGAATCAAAGATCTCTAGTTAGTCTAGATCACTGCATGATGGAGAATATTAGAAGAAAGGTTTGTAATTTTTATTTTAATAATATCGTGCCGTATTTTCAAAAGATTTCCCAGATCCTTACAAATCTGACAAAACCACTAGAAAAGTGTTCTATTCTTTGAGTTTTAGATATCCTACCTTAAACAGAAGACAGTATATTAGGGAATCTTAAAAAATTATAATTTTACGTAATGCATACGTAACTAGAGTTGACGAAGCTCGACAAGATACATTCATACTGCATATTGATGGGACTTGGTACAATACTCAAGATATTGTGAGAAAAGGATGGAGTGATAAATCTGCTAAATGTTCTGTGAAATAGAGGAAAACGGTAATGAAAATGGTTTTGTGTCTAATTGCTTGTTATATTCAGCAAAGGATATTTTGAGTTGTTCAGCAGATTATTACCAATATTATGACATCTCTTGTTCGAGAAATGGTTTGGTGAACAATTAATTCCTAATTTGCCACCAAATGCTCTTATAGTAATGGATAATGCCCCTTACCACTCTCGTCAAACTAGTGAAATTCCAAAAGCGAAAGCTCAAAAAGAGATAGTTTCTGCGTTTTCGGACGAAATGGGTGTATCATATCCACCTACAGTTTAAAAAAAGATTTTCTTGCAATATTGAAAGGCTTAAATCTCAAACCTAGCCATGTTGTAGATTAAATGGCTACGGCATTCGTTCAGACCGTAATACATTTACCACCGTATTATCGTACATTAAATGCCATAGAATTAATTTGGAATAATATCAAAATGGAGGTAAAAAAATTAATCCTGCGTTGTCTGAAACCGTTTTAGATGTTATCAGAGAAGTTGTTGGAAGTTTGTTCATCTTAAGAATTATGCTCCAATTGCGTTCTCCGTCTTACCAAAATTAAAAATAATCATCGAATATTTCCGGCTCATTCTTGCATTATAAACCTGAATGACATGTCAAGTGAAGATGATAGTTTTGGAATCCGATGAGGAAGGTGATGAGGGTAATGCTAGCGATTTAGATTAGTTTTACAAATATAATTTTTCTATTAAATTTTAAGAATTCATAAATAAAAATTAAATTAGTAAATCCTTCTTTTGATTTTAAATTATATTTGCTTGTTAAGTTACACTCTGTACAGATATCAGATATCAGTAGGCGAAAACAAATAATGATTATAACTGACAAAAAATTTTATACTATATCTTGACCGGTATAATACTCAACAATCAAATTCGTGTTGTCCATTTTATAAATAATTAAATATTTTTAAAATTAAAATCACGTTGGTTTTAATGGTTTTAAGAGTAAATTGTCAATTATAATAGCTTACGAATCTTTTTTATATACACTGTGTAAATAAATTACTACACAAATTTGTTGCAATTTGTTAATTTCATAAAATTTGGATTTTGTTTGGTAAATTTCATAACAGTATACAAAAATCAATGCTAAATCTAATAATAGATAATTGGACATTCATATGCATACCTGAGTGGGCAAAACGATAAGAGCGACGCATATCATGATGACCATCCAGAGTTGAGATGGCCAAATGTCAGGCACGAAGTCCCCGTATCCGACGGTGGAGAATGTCACGACGACGTAGTAAGTGGCCTGGAAGAGGTTCAGATGCCGATGTCCTGCTCTTTGACAATGCTGGATGCCGCAAACGCTGAAACAAAAAAAAATGTTATATAAAACTGGTCTAAAGCATACGAGTAGAATTCCATAAAATAAACAATTTTATCAAGTAATATTTTTGCATATCCGGATCTGTTTCATTAGAAAATGATCATACAGGGGTTACAAATAAAACGAGTACATAAATTACATAAAAAATAAAGAAAACACTAGAAGAAAAGAAGATCTGCACCTCACTCTTCCTAGATGTAGTTTAAGCTTTCGATAAAGTAAGGTTAGAGGGCCTTGAATATAAAATAAATAAACTTCTACCTAAAATCTAATCAAATTTAATTTACGCCTGATGTAAACAGAAGCAGGTGGACGCTAAAATTGAGCAGGGCCGTATTTTACCTTTCCGTCTTGCAAAAATGTAAAATAAAAGAGTGTAATTGTGAAATTATTTTTTTATTACGATAAAAACATATTTTGTAAACTAAAACTATAAAATAAATGCCATACACGGTCTCCCAGACTTTAGTGACATTTCTGGACGAAGATAGATAAGCGACATAAACTGCGTTAACCTGCAATACAAATTAATAAATGTATTTGACATTAAAAGAGATGTTTGCATTATATTTAGTTCATTACATATGTCTACTGTGATACAGAGCATTAAAACAATCATAATATTATACAGGGTGTCCAAATAATTGCAAATTCTTTAATAGCTAATATATATCTACTAAAAGCATTAAAAAAACTTTAAATATAAGAGGTATTTGGTATTTGAATTTGGTATTTGATTTAAAATTGTGCATCTTAAAAAGAAACCTTTTGTATTTTTGACAACTTTTGTTCTTTATTGTTCTTGTTCTACTAGTATTTAGATTAGACACCTTGTACCCTGTATTATAGCAATCTTCCTTACTTGACTTAGCACTATTCTGAATCGGATAAATTAGTTAGACTTGAAGGGCTATCTTCATTAATCAAAATTACAAGTGGTTCTACTTGAACCTCTATAATATTATCCAACTCCCACATTTTTACTTCAACTTTTTGGCGAACATGGTCGATACACTTTTTCCATTTTTCTGGAGAAATTAATAATATTACTTCTTCAAAAAGAATTTTAATGTCTCCAGATTTAAATGTTGAGTTTTTATCTGCTACGTATTGTTTAACGTCAACCTAGATTAATTCAATATTATGTTGTTTTGCTGCTTAGCCATTTCATCTATTACATACCTATCATAATGTTTATGTTGCTTACCAAGTTTTAGAAGTTGGATCTTAAGCATTTGGTAGTCGAATTCAATTTTTTTCCCTTATAGCCATTTTTAAATATCACCTTTTTTAGACGTCGTTGTAGGTATTTTTTCCAGCTTTCTCGAATAATAATGCAGTTATCTTCTAATTTTGGTAAGGTGTTTGAAAACCACTCTTTGAACGATTCTCCACACGTTTCTTCATGGTAGTCACCGGATTTTTCAACTTAAATACATAAAGTGCATTAGAGACAAAGCCTTCTTTACTTCCAATATGGCATATAATGAGCTGTTTTTACGCACATACCTGATGGGTTTTTAAACCCAGTTAAAAGTTCATCCAAAAACGCTTGTCTGGATGATAAAACCGACATATCGAAACATACTTTTGATTTGGTGTCGCCTGCGTTAATCCAAGTCTCATCAAGATAATATATTTTTTGCTTTTCTTCTCTGTACCGTTTTATTTTTTGTGACGTAGGACGAAACAATTTCATTTTGTCTAAAAGCAAACTATTTTTTCCTCGAGTTTTTAATTTAAAATTAAGGGTTTTGAAAAGCTTGAACTCGTAAAATGTAGCTCGCTTAAATGTAGACAAATATGGATCATCGTTGACTTCTTATAAAACCTTATCGATTGTTGGAAGTTAATTTCTAAAGAAGAATTGATGTACTTTGCGCCTTATTGCATTTTTATCAAAATCATCCACATAGTCACTAATTTGTTTATAACGTAGCTTTCTTTTTGGTTCAGAAAATTTATGAATCTGCCTATACTTAAACATTAAAAACGGTTTTAGCGCACATCCCTGTTTTATCAGCAACTCTCCTTTCAACATCATGTACCAACATATCAGGGTTCTATAAAATTTAATGCTTATAAATATTAAGAACCATTTCTTTAGTACGGATGACCAAATGTCCCTTTTTCGGTCGCTTTTTAGATGGAGTAAAAACATTTTTCTGGACTTCATCTGCTGTATCTGTGGAGGACATAGTGTCACGCAGCAGTTACAAAATACAGTCAATTAAATGTCCATAAAATAGAGTAAAAAATGTTCAAACTAACAACAACCACAAAAACAAAAAAAAAACAAAAATAAATAACACAATATATGTATATCTAAACTATAATATAATGAATTTTAATCAATCAAACATACAAAATGTCCAAACTAACCAACACGGTGAATACTACCAAAACGCCGTTTATAATTATCCAAATTGAAGTGAATTCGACTCTGACAAAAAATATTTGCGCGTCGTCTAAATGACTAACGACCGATTAACCAATAGAAGCGCAAAGAAAATGCCACGTGAGCTGTTGCTGGATGGGAGAGATTGTTTTGACGCGGCGTAAATGAAGTCTGAATAGACTTTAGACAATATTGTGACATCTTAAAATCTTACTTGACTCATAGAATCTTCCGAGTTAAACAAGAAGAAGAATATTCCAAACTCAAAGAAACTAAAACAGGGGTACCTCAAGGAAGTGTTCTGGGACCAGTTCTCTACCTGTTGTTTACCTCCGACATACCACAAACGCAAAATGTGAAAGTAGCCACAGCCGGCGATATGGCCATAGTTGGCATCGGTAAAACCATAGAAGAATCGACCAGAAAACTTTAACATGCAACTAATAAAATCTATGAGTGGACAAAAAGATGGGGCATTAAGCTCAACGAAACTAAAACTGTTCAGGTTAACTTCACTAATAAAAAAATATTTAGAAATAAACTAAAAACAGTAAAAACGTATGTCTTTATGGATGTTTCTGTTAAAAGTTTGGTTATAATTAAAAGTCAGTGGAACCAAAATGACATCACACCGAACTAGCGTATATCAGTCGGTTGATCAAAATATGAACGATGATTGGTGGATTTCATTTTTTTGCAGTGTTCTTACTACCTGGAATGGATATGAAATATATTCGTTCAGTTGAAGGCAATAGCATACTTTTTCGTTTTGTAATCTGTGCTAATATCCTAGGGGGAGTAGAAAAAATAATTTTCCCCCAAAATGATAATTAAACTATGTTCTCTTACTAGTAAACAAGAATAAAAATATTTTGTATTGTTTTAGACAATATCGAAATAGGAAATTATTTTATGTGAAACTTTTCTGCTAATATATTATCCAATTTTTATTTTTTCAGCCTTTTTTTTTAATTTTAATTTAAGCTTCTCTTATCAACAACTTTCTAGTTATAGTTACAATTACAGGTATCGAAAAGAATTTATATTCATGATTATTCAATGACTTGTATAATTACTACACTGAATCTAATTTATTGCTATTCATATTTTATATTTAAAATTTTATAATTTATTAACATTTGTATGTCAACAGCATTCCCAATTTCCCCAATGTTTCTAAAATTTACCTTTATAATATGTCAAAATACCTTCGGAAACTCGTTCCCTGAAAATAACCTTAATTTTAATCACAAATTATTGTATAGAACTTTGGTAAATAAAATTAGTATTTGAAATTATTATTTCAAACAAACGGCTGCCTAATTTAAATTGCAGACCCTTCCGCATAAAATCCGAATAAATCCCGTGTAGGTATAGATTTAGATGTCATCGTCGACCCAACGAAATTTTCTCTTTTCATCTGCCCAATTAGCCAAAATATCCGTATCGGCGTTTCGTATTCTCTAGATATCCTTTAATTTACTGCTTTAATTTAAATATTTTAATTATTTTCAAACTCGGACGCGTCAGACTCTCCAAAATTTGTCACAACTCCCGCTGATTTGGTATTTCATTCGACTAATGAAAGGCATTTTGTAAATTAATTGGGAATTCGGATGAAATTTGTGTTGATTTTTCATCTTAAAATGCGTACACTTAACAACGTTAAGTGTTTTTGTCTTTATCTTTGACGGTAATAAGCAGGTGGGGTTAGATTTGGCCCAGAACACTGCGTCCTCTTAGGTTTATTGTATTGCCTGCTTTCATCGTATTTCGTATATTTGATTAGTCCTGAGTAAAGTAGCTACAGGAGTTCATGCACAAATCACAAAATTGTCTTACGTATATCTTCATAAGAAATTCTGGCAAGTCCATATTGGCAATTTTTGTCCATATTGAGGTCACATGTTGGCTTTAAACTGTCATATCGTTGTTAATATCTATCGCTGGATGACGTCCTTTTTTATCAATCATTTTTTTTTTGGCATAGACTCTTTGTCATACAGCTAGTCACAAAATGGAAGAGGTAAATTAACAAACAAATAATGAATGAAAAAGAGAAAACATTAAATATTTAATTTCAAATAACAACAAGAGGATTAAACGGAAAACTCGCTTCTCGCCTAGGGACCCATCAGAGCATTAAAACAAAAACAGACATACACTAGGTCACGGTAAGGGGGTAAAATAAAACAATAGGAAAGAAAACAAAGGTACCGAGTTTAAGAGAAGTACTAATCACAAGCGTATACCTGATTCTATTAAAAAATTAATCAATCAGTCATAAATGTTTGTGGAATTGGAGGACAATAAATTTTGGATTCTCGCAATGGTCATTTTCAGAGACTTTAATTTTGTATAAATGGCAATAAGGATAATAGGCATGACCAAATGTCATCCTAATGATTGTCGATATGTACTTTCACGGTATTTTATCATACGTACCAAGGGATCTTAGGAAAGTTTAACTGAAGAGAAGTATACCTCGTTGGATTTGTAAAACAATATTCCTGCCACAAGTGTTGTCATTTATTGAACTGATTTGTTTTATTACTGCAGTAATATGAGAAACAGATAACTTG